CATTTCTAGGACATGATTTATGCTAAAACTTTTTTACTGTCAATTGTGTTCGTCGAAAATTCCTGATCATTCAATTTCCGGTCATTTAGTTGTCAAGTTGAGGATTTATGACCATCGAAAATTCCTAATCATTCAATTTTCGGTCATCCATGTTAAGTTGAGCATTATCATAGATTGATAAATAAACAGATACCATCCATTTTATCATTCATTTTGTTCAATTTATAAATTATCTGCTTTACTAATATAATTAAAATTCTCAATTATTTCAACTTTTTATAACAATTGAATGTTTAGAGCTTTCGAAAATTTTGAAATTGTATTGAGATTTATGATCGAAATTATAAAGTGATAAAAATTTAAATCATAAAATGATAAAAATTTAATCTAAACTAAAATATCAAAAATAAATAATTAGCAAGAGAAGGAAAGGAAAAAAAAAACGAATTTGATGAAAATGATAGATATAAGTAAACGGAGAAATCTATTCATAATGGATCATCCTTAGCCTAGTTGCTTTATCAAACGATCAAATCTGTCCTTCATCATTGCGTAATGATAGATTTACTTCGGAAGGTTGACAAAGAGAAAGCGGAAATTTTCATTTTGCGCATCTTACAAAAAGGAATTATTGATAGTAATATTAATAATAATAGTAATAATAGGGTATAATTTCAGAATAACACCTAAGGTATCTGCCGTAAAAATCTTAGCATCTTCTGATAGTTGCGACAACTAGAAGGATAACTGGAATGATACGATATCGTTCATGTCTTCTGATATTTGCAAAAACTAGAACGATATATACTAATGCTAATCTTTTCCGGTTTAATGCTTCACGTAATTATCCACACATTTTTTTTTCTTTAATATAATTTCACCGCTATTGATGACCTGAAAATTGAGCTATCATTTAGTACTGCTACTATTACTATTAGTACTACTACTATTATGATTGAAATTGTTAGTGTCATTAGAGAGTTGTGAAATTGGAATGAAATTCAAGATTGTCCCCTTCTCTTAACAAAGTTTATTTGCTTAGCAAGTCTGAAATTGAATTTGGAAAAAAAAAAAAGAAAGAGAAAAGAAAGAAGAAAGGAAAGGAAGAAATAAACAGAATTACTAAGGAAGATGCAATTAGAAGAAAAGTTGAAAATTAAAAAATGGAAGAATGGGAAAGGAAAGAATTGATGTCAATTAAAATTGTCAAAATTGATGAAACTTTTAATTTATTTTCAACACTTATTAGTAAATTTTTTCTTGTTTTTCTTTTTATTTCTTTGAAATAACTCAAAATGTTATTATTAATTTTAATTCCTGCTAAAAAAAATTTTCAGATTTCAAAAACTTTTTTTTTCCTAATTGAAAAATTGATATTTTTTATTAATATTAGTTTGCTTGTTTGTTTGTTTTTTTTTTAATTTCCTATTTTCCCTATTTTATTTCCTATTTTCTATCAGCATCAAAGTAAACATTAAATTATGGTAAAATAAACAATTTAATAAATTTTAATTTCTTCCTTTTTTATTTGAAATGAATTTATTGAACTTTTTTTTTCTTATTCCCATAAATACTCATTTTCAGTATTAAAAATAACAAATTCATATAAGCGATCAATCTCTAGAGATGTGACAAAAGAGATGATCGAAATGATGTATTAAGTCTATTTATCTACTAATGATCAATTAATGTCAACAGTTGTGATACTATGTTCAAAAAGTAGATAGAAAAAGAAAAAAAAGATTGGTAAAGCGGTAACATAAAAAAAAAAGGAGTCGGTAAAAATTTTTTTTTTTTAAGAAATCCGATGAGATCCTGTTGAGAGGAAATTTTTGACATCTGTAGTATTTGTTGATCGGATTAAGTAAGGAAAAGATAGATAGATGGATAGAATTCTCCTGTTTCTGTGATCAATTAGCTGTTGTTGTTGTTGTTGTTGTTGTTGTTGTTGTTGTTGTTGTTGTTGTTGTTGTTGTTGTTGTTGTTGCTGTTGTTGTTGAATATTGGATGTGTGGAGTGATAGAGTAGCTGATTATAATTTGGAATTATTGATATTATTAGACTTAAAGTTAATTTTCAAATGATATGTAATCAGATAAAAAGATAAGAAGATGGATTAATTGATAAGTGAGAAGAGAAGAAAGAAAAAAGAATTAATTGTTTAAATTAACATGAGAAAATTGGATTTTTAAATTTTATGCAGAAAAAGGAAAAAAAAAGAGCAGCGAAAATTACTTACTATTCTCTTGCTTAGACTCATTAGTCTTTATAGCTTAAAGTTTAATTTTTCTTTTTTAAAATTTCAAAACTTTCTCATTTTGCTTACTTATTATGCGAATGCAATATCGATTTTTAACATATTTTTTATGGAAATTCAAAATTAAAATTTGATCCTTCTTAATTAGCATATTACAAGTATAAGCGAAAGAATAGTACAAAAAATGTAATTAATTTTAATTAAATACAGCTTTAAATTAGCACCAATATTGTCTATCTTACTTGAATCAGTTCCTTTTTTTTTCTTCTCATTGAATTAAAAAAAAAACGAATAAATTTTGTGGGAAATTTCTTGCTTTCTTACATTTCTTCCTATTCTTCTCATTCGTTTCCATTTGATTAATCAAAAAAAAAATTATTGTCACACTGAACAATAATGGACGAAAACTTGATGGAAAAAAAAAACCAATTAATTCGTCTCATTTCTATCATAAATTAACGGAAAGGAAGAAAATGATGAAAAAGGTTTAGGATAGGAAGGAGACGACAAGTGTGACAAGTGTGACATTAGTGTGACTTTTTTTTTTTTTTGATAAGAAAATTTACCGATAGACTAAGAAAAGAGGAAAGCAAGATAAAAGAAAGCGATAGATAGAAAGAAGAAGGAGAAGAAAATGTGGTTTAATATCTAACGTATAAATATGGCTTAGAAATTAAATTGAAATTGAAATTTGTTGAAATTTTTTTGAAAAAATTAAAGCAAATTGAAGTTAGCCTAAGTTTTTTCTTAACTACGCATTGCTATTGCCATAGTAAATTTGCTGATATCTCGAAATCTCGGGAGCAAATGAGGTAATAGTATGGAGGATCTTGAGAGGAAATATATGAATTCGGCAATAATATGCAAAATCTCAAGAGAATGTGCTGTAACGGTATGCATGATCTCGAGGGGAAGTACGATAATTGTATGCAAAATCTCGGAGAAAGTACGGTAATAATGTGTAAAATCATGTGAATAAGTATGTAATTTTATCTTTTGGCAAATATATTTCATATATTTGTTCAATTTTGCAACATTTCTGTAAATTCGAATCATTTGCAAAAAAAAAAAA